ACACCACTTGTTAATGGAATTCAGCTAAGCATTTCTCCCTCAGCCTCTATTCTCCTTCCCCTGTTCTGTATCACCTCTCCTCCAACCAAGGAGTAGGATTAGCAGCCTCCAGGTGGCTCTGGGGTTTCTCCCAGAATTACAACCGATCTCCAGAATACACAGATCAGTGCCCCTGGAAAAAATGGCAGCTTCAGAGGGTAGACTATACGGAAGCACATCCCTGCTGAGTCCCCTCCCCTCTCAAAAGCCCACCCTCCCAAAATCCACTCCCAAAACTCAGGGAATTTCCCAAACCCTACCAAGAAAGGCGACTTTAGCTCTAACCTGCTACTTTGTGCTAAAAGTTTGTATAACATGGGCAGATACTACTACCAAGTGAGGTGGAAACATATTGATGGTAATCAGCAACTAAAACATAACCTGAAGAGCAGTTCTCATACATGTACCCTTAAAAAGGTTTCATTTGCTCGAAAGCTAGTTGGATCCGACTCTAGGGGTGGTGCTCATCTCAGTTTCCAAGCCGAAGAGCCAGTGCTGTCCGAAGAAGTTTCTGTGGTCATGTGGCCAGCATGACTAAATGCCAAGGCACACAGAACACTGTTGCCTTCCCATTGAAGTGGTACCTATTTATCTACTTGCAATTTCTTGCTTTCGAACTGCTAGGTTGGCAGGAGCTGGGGCCAGAGCCAGAGAGAAAGGAAGTACTTCTTCACCCAAAGAGTGATTCACACATGGAATTCACTGCCACAGGAAGTGGTGGCGGTTACAAGCATGGACGGCTTCAAAAGGGAATTAGATAAGCATATGGAGCAGAGGTCCATCAGTGGCTATTAGCCACAAGGTATAGATAGGGACTCTGGGGCAAGTGATGCTCTGTCATCTTGGTGCTTGGGGGGGGGTCAACAGTGGGAGGGCTTCTAATGTCCTGGCCCCACTGGTGGACCTCCTGATGGCACCTGGTATTTCTGGCCACTGTGTGACACAGAGTGTTGGACTGGATGGGCCTTTGGCCTGATCCAACATTGGCGTCTCTTATGTTCTTATGAACTCACACATGTACCCTTACCTGCCCTCAAATGCCAACCTACACAAGAGTTTGTTATTAACCTGCAAATGAGGGGTATGGTTTTCTTTATATATAAAAAGGTGTTCCTATTCACATGTTAGATTTTCAGGATTAAAATTTAGTTGTGCTGTATATTTGCCTGGTGCTATAAATAGTTGTGGACTAGAATTAAAACTGATGCAAAATATAATAAAGCATGTATATATTGATCTGAACACAATACATTGTGGTTTACAAATCAATCACAATGTTCTAATGCAATTCCTCCTTAGTAGCACTACAGTATTGTATTTTGGCATCTGTTTTTACAGAATATATAAGTAATATTCATCTAGAAAATACTGAAATCAGTGATCAACACACAAGCATCAAAGCAGTTCAAAAATTAAAGGAACACACCATTTTTATAATACTTTAGCATAACT